ATGCATGCAGGATACTAACTACAGAAATTTTCAAATTCAAATGCTTAACTTTAAAGTTCAATTAAGATTTTCAAGTAGATAATATTGATAGTAATAAAAAATAAAACCATTACAAAAATAAATAATATTTCCTCTTGTACCAAAGATTTCTACGACGTAAAAATACTCCCAAACCAAATTAGAGCTACCAAAAACTTGGTATATATGAACCAAACTGAAGAGAACACATTACTTGGGATTAAGCTTTTACTTGTATAATAATCCGTCTTTTTATTAGATTCACAGTACCTCCCAATGCTCATGAACTTCCTTTGTCCAAATATTCCATTTATGTGAACCTTAACTGTAAAATATATGCAATTGTCTTCAATCAAATCTTGAGCATCATGAAGACCAATATTTGATACCACTAAATTCCTGCCTCCTCCAACAAACAACATCCGATTTCCCAAATTCTTAACCTCAATCCATTCACCTTCTTCCCTACCGGTTGTAAAGTTGAACTTGAACACTCTACTTTCTATAAAGGTGGACATGAAACCATTCTCATTATTGCTGGTATTAATAACTTTTCAAACAGATAGATAAGCAATAACTCTCCGGATGAAGCATCAATAACTAATACCTAGTTGGATCAACAATGAGACTGATCAACCAAATCATCAACTTTTGCTAAAGGATTCTCAACTGCTGAGGATGTGTTTGGATTAGCAATAGAGAAGTTACTTTTTTTCAATATAACTTTTAGAAAAGTCCTATTAGGTAAAAGTCAAGTAGTATAATGTGATTTATGTTTAGATTAGTTTTTATAAAAAAATCAGTTTGAGAAGTTGAAACTTGTTTGGATGATTAATAAAAAAAAAGTTTAGATATAAAATGATTAAAAAGGATATAAACTTTATTGAATGGTACATATTTATATTATATGTTTATAATGTGATAATTCTCAGAGAATAATTAAAATTAAAATTATAAAAATAAAAATAGTTATTTTTTAGAATAATTAAAAATAAAATATTGTGTTTAAATTTTAGGAAAAATTCAGAAAAAGTCCTCCTATTAAAAATATAATTAGTGAGAAGGATCTAAATCATAATACAAGCATTCTGTATCTATAATATTTACACTTAGTATATAAAAATTTATCAATTACTTCTTACCAATTAAATTTTTAATAGGACATTTTTCTCAATTATCCATAGATTTTATAATATGATAGCAAATAATAAACAATAATAAATTTATTTTTTTTAAATTGTTTCATTATTCAAAAAATAATTTCTCTAATATTAAAAACCACTTAAGTGGCTCAATTTAAAAATAAAAAAACTCACATCATACATAAAACATATTCTCTCCTCCCTCACTCATGGGCCCTACCTATCTAAACGTGTGGTGGAGAAATTGAAAGTAATAAGTTGGAGCTTTTGGAAAAAAAGTTCATTTTAAGGATAAGTTCATTTACTTCCACAATCAGTTCAAACATGTGTTTTAAACAAAAAGCTACTTTTTTCTTCTTCTTCTTTTTTAGTGGAGCAGTTAGTTTGGGAGCCACCGGTGTAATCCCAAATGCACCTAAGAGTTTTGGCCTTATGGGTTTATTTTCAGATCACAGACTAATATAGAATCAAAATCAAGAATCTCTATGTCCTTGAAGATGATCCTTTCTTTTTGATGAGATCCTTTGATCAAAGTCCATGATTCATCATAAATGCAACCAAGTGCAAGCATATTAGCATCCACAAACCAGTCTCATTATTGCTGGTATTAATAACTTTTCAAACAGATAGATAAGCAATAACTCTCCGGATGAAGCATCAATAACTAAATACCTAGTTGGATCAACAATATAAGACTAATCAACCAAATCATCAACTTTTGCTAAAGGATTCTCAGCTGCTGAGGATATGTTTGGATTAGCGATGGAGAAGTTATTTTTTTTCGATCTGACTTTACAAAAGTCAGATTAGGTAAAAGTCAAGTAGTATAATGTGATTTATATTTGGATTGGATTTTATAAAAAAAAAAAATCAGTTTGAGAAGTTGAAACTTGTTTGGATGATTAATAAAAAAAAGGTTTAGATATAAAATGATTAAAAAGGATATAAACTTTATTGAATGGTACATATTTATATTATATGTTTATAATGTGATAATTATCAGAGAATAATTAAAATTATAATTATAAAAATAAAAATAGTTATTTTTTAGAATAATTAAAAATAAAATATTATATTTAAATTTTAGGAAAAATTCAGAAAAAGCCCTCCTATTAAAAATATAATTAGTGAGAAGGATCTAAATCATAATACAAACATTCTATATCTATAATATTTACACTTAGTATATAAAAATTTATTAATTACTTCTTACCAATTAAATTTTTAATAGGACATTTTTCTCAATTATCCATAGATTTTATAATATGATAGCAAATAATAAAGAATAATAAATTTTTTTTAAAAAAAATTGTTTCATTATTCAAAAAATAATTTCCCTAATATTAAAAACCAACTTAAGTGGCTCGATTAAAAAGAAAGAAAAAAACTCACATCATGCATAAAACATATTCTCTCCTCCCTCCCCCATGGGCCCCACCTATCTAAACGTGTCGTGAAGAAGTTGAAAGTAATAAGTTGGAGCTTTTGGAAAAAAGTTCATTTTAAACATAAGTTCATTTACCTCCACAACCAGTTCAAACATGTGTTTTAAGCAAAAAATTACTTTTTTTATTTTTTATTTTTTCAGTGGAGCAGTTAGTTTGGGAGCCACCATTGTAATCCCAAATGCACCTAAGAGTTTTGGCCTTATAGGTTTATTTTCAGATCACAGACTAATATAGAATCAAAATCAAGAATCTCTGTCCTTGAAGATGATCCTTTCTTTTTGATGGGATCCTTTGATCAAAGTCCATGATTCATCATAAATGCCACCGAGTGCAAGCATATTAGCATCCACAAAGCGACATGCCACAACACAATCTGGGTTACTAGGTTTTATTGATGCCACAATTTTTGCAGCCCTACCTTCACATTGTAACCTTGATGGCATCAAAATCCTAGCTTTTGTTAAGGGGTTGAAGAAAAAGATGCTTCGAATACAATTACCCGTACAGTTAGAAGCTTGATCATCAACCATGATCAACCAACCTTGTATTGTTCCACAGCAGCAACCAAATTGCAAAGGCCCAGGACAACGTAAGACAGTTTTTGTGGGCAGTTTGAAGAATGAAAAGTATTTTCTGGAGTCATTTGTTTGAAGAAACACAAGTGGTAGTTCTGGTAATGGTGGACAACACTTGTTAGCCATGGACCTAGGAACAGTGGATCGCCAACCTGAACAGACAACATGGGTTCGAAGGAAATCAGGCAGACATAAACGTAGTAGAATCGAACCGTCGCGTCCACTAGATCACCACAACCCAATGTTTGATTCGTGGACATGCCTCCCCTGTCATCGTCCTCAGTTGAGAGTGACTCTTCTTCCTCCCATTAGTGGCCGTGCTCAGGAAGTTAGAGGGTGGTGTGAAGACGAGGCGGGGCTATGGACACAGGGGGAATTAATCCACCTAGCTGCCACGTCATGTTGTTATGTCTACGTGTTAGCTCGGTCAGCCTCCGATTCATAAACCCCACAAATTGGAGGAAAAACAGTTAAAAATTGGCCAGGTTAAATATTGTCACGAATAAAAAAATAATACTTTTAGGAAACATAATTTCTGCTCATAAAGATTGGCTGCTTTCTTAGTTTAAATTTCTCTTGGACGATTATAGCCAAAAGAGTCTGAAAATCTATTAATGAAACGAAATTTATTTTACTAAATTTTTTTGCTAAAGCATAGATATCCTCACGTTAGAGTTAATCCTATTCAAAACATTATCGAATACTAAATGTAAACACATATCCTAACATAAATTCGAACAAAAATTACAAATAAGGCTTCGCATCCAAAGTGTTCATTGTAAAATGACATTGTGTCTATTTGGAAGAACGATTGGAGAGGGAAAAGCCACGATTGAAAGTTCAAAAGTAGCTTAATATATCAAGGGACTGTTTGAGTAAAAACCAAACCATCATTTTAAAAGTGATTTTATAGTATACGAAGTAAATATGTGAAGGAGTTTGTTTCGATTTGCAAAAAAATGCTTTTCAAAAACACTTCTGGATGTTTCCAAACACCCACTAAGCCTTTGTTTGATGAGCATTGGATTTTAAAGCAAAAGTTAATCTCAATATGAAAAAGCCATAAGCTATTTTCAGTTGCTTATAAGAAAAATTGCTTTTTAAACGTGGAGAGAAGGGGGGGAAAAATAGAAAAACTTATGAGTCACTCACTTTAATTAAAAAATAAATAAAACTATGGTATCAAAATACCACTCTATTTCTATTTATAAATAACTTGTACTCCAAACTCATAAATTAAGAAAAGTATTAGATTGATAATTTTTTTTATATTTATCCTTATTACAAAAAGTATTTAAATATATTTTATATTTTCTCTCACCTATTTGCTTTATTTTTTTATCTGGATTTATTAAATCATTAGGAATAAAATTGAAAAAAAAATCATTAATTATACTACTAACGTCTTTTTATATTATATAAATTCATGTCTTTACTATTTTTCAGTATCTAATAAAACCCATACGTATTTTGATAATTATAGAAATTAAACTTACTTTTATTCAATACTAATCCAAACAGTCTTTTATCAAATATAACTTTCACAAACTAACTCTTATAACATGAAATCCCCACACAATTTAGATCCTTCAATTTAATTTTTACCCAATCTAATTTTTTTAAAAATCAAATTAATAATAAGTTACTTTTTTAATAACTAATCCAAAAGTGCCCATCGAGTTACATTAAACGCGAATACCATCCAGGCGCCCACCAAACTCCATTCCCCCCCCCCCCCCCAAAAAGAAAAAAGGCCCAAATTCAAACGAGAAGCCGCCCGGAACGCAAAAACGAATGAACAGCGAATGAACAGGACAGAGAGGAAAAATAATCAAATTTTACAAAATTCATATCCGAGGCTTCACCCCCTTCGCATGCTTTGAAATAGCTAAACCACACTTACAAGGGGACCAGACATGAGTTTCTTCACTAGAGCAACTATATATAAATTGACGAAGAAGTAACGAGTGAGTCTCATATTTGGCTAACTATCCAGATTATAAAGAACAATCCCTGCATTCTAAATTAGGCCTTCCAATTCCAAGCTGGGGAAAAAAATCTCAGGGCTTTCCCCATTACATAGAAAGAATAAATCCTCATTGCTCAAAACCCTGTGATTTTACAGCCACCAGTTTCATCCCCCAGTACATCAACCAGAGGCTTCCTCTAGAAACTTGCTACCTCCAGCAACAAAACTAGGGAAGTTCTCAGGTCTCAACTTGCAGAAAAAATCCTAATCGCACTTAATGTTTCGGTATATCCTTCTCACAAACAAATTTGAACCAAGATAACCCACAGCCCCTGCACATCATTCCAGGGAACACTTCAGGCCAGATAAAGCACGTGAACATTCTTATGAAAGGATGATTGATCAATAGTACGGGATTTTAGACTTGTCATCCTACCAGAGCTTGAAATGAAGCTGAAAATACATATTAAAAATTATAATAATTAATTGAATACTTACCGCAGAGAATTCCAAGTCCAAGACAAAACATCAAGGTGTATCCAAAATAGAAGCTAGTTTGGAAGAAGCCTGACATCTTTGTCTTCACATAGTAGTAGTATATCGAATACAGATACACATAAACAGCAGTTGAGGCAGCGGAAAAGAAAGAAGTCCATTGCCAGTGGTAGTTCTCGGCATTTAACAGAAAGTATGTTCCCACAATCGTCACACAAACAGTAACAATAATGAGAATCAGAAACACCAGCAGCATGAAGCCATAGACATAGTACACCTGTTAGCCACAAAGGAAAGGAAGTAAAACACGTATAAGCCAAGTTCCAAACATGAAACTCACAAAGCATGTTGTCTACACTACTTTCACTCAAATAAAAATTTGTTTACTTTGAAGCTTACTAGTCAGTTCAAGGGGGGAAAAATTTTAATAAGAAGGAAACCAGTTTTTCTGCTCTATTAGATGGAAGGAACCTGTTGAAAATATAGAATTCAATCCTAGCATGAGCCCTTACCCAATGTAGCTTAAACTTTTAGGATTAAATAGCATCAAAGATTCTAGACCATGCGGTTGGGATTCAATGGTTGCCAACCAACCCCACCCCACCCCATTCTTCAAAATTAAATTGAAATTTCAACAACAGGTAATGATGTGCTTAATCACACGTCAGTGTGCGGGGGGCATGATAGAAATATGGAGACCTTTTCCTAGGCCTTCGTTTGATACCTTATGCTTTTTTAGGATGAAATAGTTTTCGACAAGAAACATAGGCTTTCTAACCAAAAACATACGAAAATAACTTTGCTACCCACACCATGCATTGGGTTCTAATTCACCTTGTAATTCCAAAAGGATGTAAACACAAAATACATCTCAATGAAAATGCTGCCAAACGGTAGGAGTCCTCCCATCAGAGAAACTACAGACGGTGTAAGGTACCACTTCTTCTCAGGAATGGGACGTGGGATGGTCTTTACACGACAGGGATTATTTGGGGCGCCACTCCAGTTTCTTCCAACAACTGTACCCAGAAGCGCGAGAGGGAAAGAGATGAAACCCCAAATGACAAACACAACCACCATTGTGCCAAATGGGATTGCTGCTAGAGATCCATAGAATATAGCAATCGTATTCAAGACAAACCCGATTCCAAAGCACATGAATGGGAAAAGAGATGCTGTGAGAATCATGGACTTAATCCAAGTTTTACCTATATAAACAAAAAGAACGGTTACTAGCATTCAGAGCAAAGGTCAAATTAAAGTGACTAAAGCAAGCTTGAGGAGAGGTTGCAGCAATTTTTTATTTGCCCCCCAGGTGCTTACCCCCATGTCTTGAGTACATCCCCCCACTCACATAACCAGAAATGAACGATGTCAGGGCATAACATACAATGAAGGTTGTGACAATTGCTCCTCGCCTGAGACACAAATAGCATTTAGGAATTTACATAACAATGAAGCAGAAAAAAGAAGGGGGTGGATAAACGATAGCCAATCTAATACAGCCTACAAAAATGGATGATTATTGCGATATGCATGCAGTAAATGGCATGAACATAGTTATTTAGCACATTTTGTGCACAATCACCCTATCATTGATAAAATCATAGTGCAGAAAAATATAACAGGAAGTTTAAGAAGTTACATACCCAACATATAACATCCCAACAATAGCCAACAAGATGACAAGAAGAACCAGCAATGCCAGCTGAGCACCAGTGCCAACAACAGCTGAAAGAATAACTAAATTGCGAGGTGGCCGAAAAACATCACCATGCACAAGTTTCCAGCCAGATTCTTCGCTGACATCTCTCTCCTAGAAATATTTTTGTTAAACAAAAATTGGCATTCAGAAACACTCAACTTTTTCTGGGAAGAAATAATTTACATATTTAATAAACAGATAATAAATAAGTCTGAAAGGAATTACCAGGGTTTCCAAATCATCATCTTCTCGTGCATATTTAGCATAATCATTCCTCAAAGTTCGCATTAATATCATTGACACCAACCCAGTGAGAAAGATGACCATCATGAAAGAATTAAAAATGGAAAACCAATGTATCTGCAAAACACCAGACAAACTTAAATTCCTTTATAGACAAAGCCAAGGAAAAAAGCTGCAAGGATGTGAACAGTCAAAGATAATGAAATATCCAACCAAAAATGAATCCAGATGCAAAATTTGCTCCAATCTTTTTAACCTGATGTTCAAAGAAAGGATAATCCAGGTAGACATCAAAGCGACGTCCAAAGGTGACATTGGTAGGTTCCCATTTGACAGAGTATGTCATGTCTAAATTTCTGCCCGCCTCCAGAGGCTTGGGGCTCTCTTGAGTTAGATTCACATGAATAATCTGCAAAATACAGACCCAAGTACAGCACATCATGGCTCCCTAATCCCTTCATGATATTAGAATTAGGATAAGAAAGTAATCAAATAACTACTGACCTGATCTTTATTGTATTTAATGACAATGTTCTTGTGTGTGTAAAGGACATGCTTGCCGTTATCACTGTTCTTATCAGGATGCAGCTCCCCAACAAACCCTAAACAAGAACATAAGTACCTTAAATTGTAGTGAAAAGAATTAAAGGGTAAATCAAACCAGTGAATGGAAGATAAGGGCGGTTTTCAGCATACCCCACAAAGGTAGGTCATCTGAACTTGTGTAGATCAGGTCAAATACCAGCCAGCATATGAGATAGGGCAGTGAACAAGAAAGAGATCGAGTGTAAGTACTCAAAAAGTGAACCAGAACTTAGAACAAGAAATATTCTTTGTGCGTGTGTGTGACAGAGGGGGCGAGCAAGGAGCAATATACAGACGAAATCTCTTCAGTCATATATTATGATAATTCAAAAGAAACACGACATTGTTGGTCATTCTGACACTAAAATAAGCTATTGAAGAATTATCGAGGGCAGACTTTTACATGACGAACTATTAGAGTAACCCTTCTCTGTTTTCTGGTGATTCTAAATAGTGGAGTGAATATCAGAAGACAATAGTGAAAGTTTCTGAATAGTAATTCTCTGTATATTCACTCATGATCTGATTACATAATATATAAGGGAAATAGGAATCAACCCAATCAATACAGATCTGATCCTATACCTCCTAATTAATACAGATTTGATTCTATTCCTCCTAAAATCATGGAGCACTAATAGTGACCAGATTTCTCTCTAATCTGACCGTTGCTATTTATTACAGAATATTCTCTGTAATATAACATAGGAAATTAGGTTAAGCATTTGGTTTCTGGGCCTTTAGGCAGCAGGCCCACTTTCCCACACTCCCCCTCAAGCTGGTGAGTAGATGTTAATCATTCCCAGCTTGCTTCTGAAACCTTCAAATTTTTCTTGAGTTAGAGACTTTGTCATCACGTCTGCAATTTGATTTCTTGAGGGAATGTAAGCTAGATCAATCACCTTACTATCTATCTTTTCTTTAATGAAGTGTCGATCGATTTCCACATGTTTTGTGCGATCATGATGCACTGGATTATTAGCAATCTTGATTGCTGACACATTATCGCACCAAACTTTCATTGGAGCATTAACCTCAATTTCAAGCTCCTTCAAGAGTCTCATAAGCCATATCCCCTCACAAATACCTAGGGCCAAGGCCCTATATTCTGATTCGGCCGAACTCCTTGATACCACTGGTTGTTTCTTACTCCTCCAAGTAACTAAATTTCCCCACACATAAGAACAATAACCAGTAGTAGATCGTCTATCTCTTTTTGATCCTGCCCAGTCAGCATCAGTGAATAGTTCAATTTCTTTAGATGTGCCCTTAGCAAAAAACAACCCTTGTCCTGGGGTCTTCTTCAGGTACCTCAGTATTCTGTAGACTGCTGTCATGTGTTCCTTTTGAGGACTATTTGAGAATTGGCTCACCACGCTAACTGGATAGCATATGTCAGGCCTTGTGTGGGATAGGTAAATAAGTTTCCCTACTAGCCTTTGATATTGCTCCTTGTTTACTACCTTTCCATCTGACTTGATTGTTAGCTTTTGGTTCAGCTCCATTGGAGTATTAGCAGGTCGAGCTCCCAACATCCCTGTTTCTTTTAGGAGGTCAAGTGTATACTTACGTTGTGATACACTTATCCCTTTATGAGTTCGCGCCACCTCCATGCCTAGAAAGTATCTTAGTGGGCCAAGATCTTTGATTTCAAATTCTGTTGCTAAGTCTCCTTTTAGCTTTGTGATTTCTTTTTCATCATTCCCTGTCAAAACTATATCATCAACATAAACAATAAGTATAGTTATTTTTTCATGATGGTGTTTAACAAACAGGGTATCATCGGCTTGACATTGTTTATAGCCTAACCCTTTGATGGCTCGAGAGAACTTCTCAAACCAAGCCCTTGGAGACTGTTTCAGCCCATACAAAGATTTGTGTAGCCTACACACCTTCCCAAAATTGTTTGAGTTTCTCATTCCCAAAGGAATCTCCATGTAAACTTCTTCTTCTAAGTCCCCATTAAGGAAAGCATTTTTAACATCAAGTTGGTGTAAAGACCAATCTAAATTTGCAGCAAGAGATAAGAGAACATTTATAGTATTAAGTTTAGCTACAGGGGCAAAGGTCTCTTGGTAATCTATCCCATAAGTTTGAGTAAACCCTCTAGCAACCAAACGGGCCTTATATTTGTTTATACTTCCATCGGGGTTATATTTTACTGTGAATACCCATTTACTACTCACAATTGATTTACCTTTAGGAAGATTTGTAATTTTCCAGGTTCCATTCTTTTGTAAAGCTCTCAATTCTTCTTCAATAGCTTGTTTCCAATGTAGATCTGTAACAGCCTCATTGAAACTTTTAGGAATTTTCACACTTTCTACATTTGCTACAAAAGTTTTTAGGTGGGGTGAGAGCTTACTGTATGAGACATACTTACTAATAGGATGTTGAGTGCAGCTCCTTTTTCCTTTTCTTAGGGCAATAGGCCAATGAAGTTCTTCAGAACCCATTTCAGGTGCAGAGTCATGTTGCTGCATAGATGTAGAGTCACGTTGCTGTTCTGTGGTATTACTAGGTTGGTTTTCCATAGTTTCAACCATAGGCTGGTCACAGAGAGAGTTTAGAGGCTCAAAAGGATTTGTATCTTGATAGACAGATCTGTTTGGGGTAGTTTCGGTTCTGTTTGGTGTATGTTCAGATCTGTTTTGGGAGCTGTGTGTTGATTCTGTAAAGTGGGAAGGCATAATAGGTATATCTAGGGAGATTGAAGGTCCAACTATTTGCTGGTCTGTTTGAGAACCCTTGTGATAGTCACAAATTGTCCAGTCACTTTCCTTGTTCTCCCCCTGAATGGATGATTTGGGATAATATGGTTGAGATTCAACAAACTTGACATTCATTGTAATGTAAACCTTTTTGGTAACAGGGGAATAGCATTTGTAACCTTTATGATTTGAGGAATAACCAAGAAAAATACATTTAATGGCTCTAGGGTCCAGTTTTCCCCCATGTTCATTATAAACAAAGGCAGTACACCCAAAAACCCTCTTGGGAAGAGAAGTTACGAGGGAAGAGTTTGGAAAAGTGTCAAGAAATTTTTGTAAAGGGGTCTGGAAGTGCAGAACTTTTGAAGGCATTCGATTTATCAAATGAGCAGCGGTAAGTATAGCATCCCCCCAAAATTGGTGAGGAACATTGCCCCCGATCATAAGGGCTCTAGCAACTTCTAAAAGATGTCTGTTTTTCCTTTCAGAAACTCCATTCTGTTGGGGAGAATAGACACAGGAGGTCTGGTGATGAATGCCATTTGTGGTTAAAAAATTTTTAAAAGATGAATTTAAATATTCTTTCCCATTATCAGTGCGAAGAATTTTGATTGAAGTCCGGAATTGATTTTTGATGAAAGCATAAAAATTTTGAAAAACAGAAAACACTTCTGACTTGTTTGTAATTAGAAAAACCCAAGTCAATCTTGTATGATCATCTATAAAAGTTACAAACCAGCGGGCTTTGGAGTTGGTGTCAAATTTAGACGGCCCCCAAACATCACTATGGACAAGGGAAAAAGGGTGAGAGGGGGTATAGGGTTGTGGAGGATAAGAGTGTCTAATTTGTTTTGCAAAATGGCATGTATCACAATGAAAATCAACAACAGATTTATTACTGATAGAAGGAAATAAAACTTGCATATAACTAGGACTAGGGTGGCCTAACCTAGAATGCCACAACATTATTTCATTAGTTGGCATAGTAGATGAAATAGAGCAAGAAATAGAAACTTTTGGTGAAGATCCTTGGATATAATAAAGTCCATTCCAGACTTTAGCAGCGCCAATCATCTTCCCCAATGCCAAGTCCTGAAAAACACAACTAATATTATCAAAAGTAACAAGGCAATGCAATTGATCAGCAACTCGTTTTACTGACAGCAGGCTGCACTTAATTTCAGGGACATATAGAACATTTTTCAATGTAATATGTTCAGAGATAATAACAGTTCCAGAACCTAGAACCTTGGAAAACTGCCCATTAGCAACCTCTACAGTATTATGGTTAGAAAAAGGACTGAAATCAGAAAAGACCTCTTTAAATCCAGTGATATGATCAGTGGCACCGGAGTCAATTATCCATAAATTCTTAGATGGAGTCACACTACTAAGAGCATGAGTTAGGATAGTACCTGCACGGGCTAGAGTAACAGAGGGTGTAGGGGTCTCACTTGTAGAGGCAGTAGCGTGCTTGTCCAGCAACTTTCGCAGAAGTAGTAGCTCATCATGGCTTAAGAGACTACTATCAGCAGTAGAGGAACCCACCATTAAGCCCTTGCTTTCTATTTTGCCTTTCTGCTTGCTGTTTGGAGGTTTTCCATGAAGCTTCCAACATACCTCTCGTGTGTGTCCACTCTTGTGACAGTAGTCACACCATTTGCTAGACTTTTTGTTTTTAGTGTCCCCTTGGGGGCCACGGACAGCAAGAGCAGATGAATCATTAGAATGTGTGGAAGAAAAAGAAGAGGAATTAATCAATACCTTCCTACTTTCTTCAAACTTGACAGTATTGAAAGCTTCTATAAGTGAGGGAAGAGGTTTAAGACTCATGATTCGTCCCCTCACATCTTCAAAGGAATCATCTAGTCCGAGTAGAAACTTGTAGCACCGTTCCCGATCCACCAACTTTTTGTAATACATGGCATCTGTGGGATTGGACCATTCATGGACCTCATAGAGGTCTATTTGTTGCCAAAGTTTCATTAATGCTGTGTAATATTGAGTTACAGATTGTTCACCTTTAACCAGATCATGAAGTAAGCGTTTGACTTGAAATAGAGCAGCTGTATTTTCTGTAACAGAATAAGTGGCCTTTGCAGAATCCCAAATTTCTTTGGCTGTTGTAGCAAGGAGATAGTTTTCTCCAATCTCGACTGTCATGGAGTTGACGAGCCATGCCATTACTAGATTATTTTCTGCACACCATGTAGGAAATTGTGGATCAGTAGCAGCTGGTGGTGGCGGAGATCCTGTGAGATATTTCTCCTTGTTGCGACCACGAACAAACATGAGAACATAGCGAGACCATTGAAGGTAATTGTTCCCATTTAGATGATGGGTAACAGGCATTTGAGAGAAGGCATCCGATGGCAAACCTAGTGGCGGTGTACTCCTAGTTGTTCCGCCACCTTGTGAGGCCGAACCTTGCCCTGAAGGAGGGAGATTACTGCCATCAGCAGTAAAACCACGTGGCTGCTGCAATGCAGCCTTGAAAGACATTGAGAGGGCTTTTCTTTCTCACGGCTCTGATACCATGAAAGTTTCTGAATAGTAATTCTCTGTATATTCACTCATGATCTGATTACATAATATATAAGGGAAATAGGAATCAACCCAATCAATACAGATCTGATCCTATACCTCCTAATTAATACAGATTTGATTCTATTCCTCCTAAAATCATGGAGCACTAATAGTGACCAGATTTCTCTCTAATCTGACCGTTGCTATTTATTACAGAATATTCTCTGTAATATAACATAGGAAATTAGGTTAAGCATTTGGTTTCTGGGCCTTTAGGCAGCAGGCCCACTTTCCCACAAATAGCATGAAGGATCTCCTGTTTAGCTATTAAAATATGAAAATGAATCAGGTTACTACTTCTAGGGTTAGGTGTGTCTAATAAAGTCAATGTCAATAATTTCTCCACATCCATAAATATACTCCCACTCTCACATAATAAAACTTCAAACCTAACTACCATCAATCTATTCCTATTTCATGTAAATAAGGTCAGAGTAAGTAATTTTTTATTTCAATTCCAATTACACAAATTAGAGTTTCCTTAAAACCCTATCCACCATTTTTCCAATAAACAGGGTGAAATGCCCATAATATTACATATTCGCAATCAATCAGAAGGCCATGCAAGATGTGCCATAATTATCTTCACTCCCTCAAGCACCAGTTCAAGTCAAGGTCGTTTTTACAAATCTACAGGACACTTAGAAATCAATTTTCTCTGAGTTTCAACCACACCAAGTCAGTGAATGAACACAGGCAATAACTTGAAATCATGTGAACGGTCCCAAAATACTTAAGATCCAATTGGCAGACTCTCCTAGCAACATCAAACTAGGCTGTCCAGCATCATACAGCAATCACAATTGTAAAAGTGCAGACTAATGGTAATTTGGGTTTCCAAAAACATTTTCAGTTTTCATTCTTCATTTCCATTTCTTTAATCTATTTTCGTGTGCAAGTGAAGCTACCGAAAGCTTCCTTTTAGTTTTACCATTTCAAACCTTCTTTTACCAAACTCCACTAAAATATTACACCCATGTTTCTTATTTTCACATAAAGTGAAACAGGAAAAAAGGAAGACAAAAAGACTGTAAATTTCCAAGAAATTGCAACCCTTTATCACATACTGCGGTATCGTTATTAAGTAAGAATAAGCTTTCTGTAGTTTCAACTTCAAACATTTCACGACTCACTAAAAGCTTAACTGTTTTATCCGTTCTCTTAGTAACAAGAAAAAGAAACAAACAAAACGTACCCATGAAGAATTCAAACCAGTAGCTATTTTCTATGGCATCCTTCAATTGTTTAACCTTTGCATCATCAAGAGCCAGCTGGCAAATAACTGTCTTTTGCACATTTCCTGAAAAAGAAGGAAAAGCCATAAGTGGCGCTGCTTTGACTATGGATAACTCCATAAAATAACAAGAGAAACCTACGTACTTGTAAACTTGATGTCAATTTGGCTATCGATGAGTTCATTGCCACCCAATACCTCACCAAGACCCCCCCATTTATGTGCAGGGTTATCAGATGGATGACAAAATGGAAGGCTGTAGTAATTGTATGTTTCTTGTGGATTGTTATAAGGGCCGACTTTGTTCACCCAAAGGGTAACCGGGTCTCCTTGCTGATACTGCAATAAAATTAAATCGAAGCTTTAAATAGAAATCTACTGATCAAGGGAAATGACAAATGAAGATAGGCATTCTACCCATGTCACTAGCTGATACTTCAACAACATTAAATCCAAGCCCCAAAACAGAAACCTACTGACCACAGGAAATTACAGATGAAGATAGACAGTCTGTCCATGTCATTATCTCCATCCTTTAGGAAGGAAGATTTTGGGATAATTGATATCCGAGGAAAAACAACTATAGAATAAAGAATTGAAGTTATGGCAAACTACCCCCTAAATGAAGCAAAGAAAAATAGAAGATCTTCAGATACTGGGCCACAAGTATAATCTGCAATATGAGTTCACTTCACTCTGGGTTCAGCTCACAGTAAATGGGTTTCTTAGTGATTTCCTTCTTGGGTAGATACTCAAGTTTAAGACAAGATGGATCGGTCTGGTGCAACATGGAGTTAGGCATTTTAGACCTTACAGCAAGAGCGCTGAAAAGTGATTCAATGTGTGTTCAATAGAACCAAAGTCATCAAAATTGAAGATTGAAGTGTAAGTTAAGTGCACTGAAAGCCAACTATAGATACTTGGGTAATAAACGAATTATGGTAGCATGAAATAAAGAACATAGTACATAATAGAATGCTCTGATCTCAAAAACAACTAATGATTTCATGTGAAAATTTCAGCCAATCATCAGTTACTTCCCATTTGAAAGGCATGGCCCAATGCAAATACTTAGCTCACTAGAGAATAGAATCCCCGAAGCCTACAGACTGTAGTCATGTATTCAACTATTCTCAAGCCAAAGTTCCTCATTCATTGAGTTTCTCTGGTCTACATCAACCATTGCAATAATCCAATCAGCGATGCGACAACTAGAAGATAACAATGCCAACGACAAATTATAAAGCTTCTACACTGATAACACTTGCGAAATCTAAAATCAGAATTAGAGGATTCAAGGTATCAAACAACAATGACTTATCTGTCCTGTTTAATTCTAGCTTATGCCTCCCAGTACAAATTTATCCCTGTTGCCACACTTCAGACCTCTACTGCTAGATGTCTAAAACCACCACTAATGTCTCTTAGAGTTAACAGAATATTTAAAACAACAGACACCGCTCTAGCTCTCAAGAGACTTTTAACCTAGATTGCTATGCACATGAACGTGAAACCGCTAATTCGAAAAAACTGCAGCATAGTTTTTGGAGGCTGCCAGCTTGTTCTATATCCAGTAATCCATAATGTGCCGCTTGTTGCCATGTTATATAACGCCAAATTCAAAGAACTCTAACGTAAATTTCCATCAGAAGATGAGAATGCTGTCCGGCTTTTAAAAAAAGACCCAAGATCAGCAGTTGATCATAATGCGGGGAAGAAGTGAAAGTGAATTTCATATACAGGGACCATGAATCACTTCTAACCATCTGCATTGTACAGATATCAATACAATCACGACTGCATAATCAAACCAAAGCCCGCTAAAGATCAGGCGCCAAAACGCCCGACCATTCCACACACCATAAAAACGAAAAAAACACGCCCAAAATATCCCTCAGCTGAGAAAAACCAAAGAAAACTGTGTGAATTTACTGAAGTCAAATTCCAAATCGAGATCATCACCCAAAACACTGAATGCAACAGCTGGAAACCCCACTCACTGGCAGATCTAGTCCCAATTCAGAAATCATAAGGAGGCGAGAACCAGATCCACGGGGCAGAATCCGAAAGAAATGAATAACAGACGAACATAAACAACAGATAAGGATGGGGGAATTTACCCTGTGATCTGACTCAGAAGCGAACGCCGGAGAGAGGCGGAGAAGGAGGATAACGGAGAGTACGGAGAGGGAAAGGCAACGAAATTCGAAGGACATGGCGGGCACCGGCGACGGTCGGATCTAGAACCTCTCCGATTGAGAAGTGCCTCAGTAAGAGAGAGAAAGAAAGAGGGAGAGAGAGATGTCCTTACATTGAAGAACCGACGACCTTGAACATCGAAAACATAAAACGATGTGTGCCAAGAAGTGGGCCCAGTTGGGTCCGAAAAACATATCCGGGCTACTTTATTTTGGATTCGGTACAGATCCGCTAATCGCACAGCCTTCTTTAAATTGCTTTTTTTGGTAAACTCTTTAAAAAAATTTTGTGCACGTGTCCATAACATCCGATTAATTGGGTTTATAGCCCAACAATCCGAGTCAAAAATTCCACAACACGATATTTCACCCAGGAAAAAAAAAAAAAATCTAGACCGACATTTTAGGGGGCCGAAAGAAAGATTTGTGCAAATTTTCTAATGTCGTTATTATGGTTAGGATTATACAGTTGCTGAAGTGTGACCTTTTTTTTTTTTGAAGTTTTGATCCATAAAATTTGATATCAGTGATTTTGGTTCTTGAAACGATATTTTATAAGCAAAAACCACTGGTCACAAATTCATGAATCGAAATTAAATTTTAATAATTAAAAATTATACTGACCCTTATAATTATAATTGTGAATACTGATTTCAGCTTGGAAATTGCAGCAAATTGCATTATCCATATCACGACTGCTGTAATTTGCTATTCAATTGGCTTTTAAAATGTTCATAACTTTTAGGTTGGATTTTTCCTCATATATTACTGATTTCAGCTTGGAAATTGCAGCAAATTGCATTATCCATATCACGACTGCTGTAATTTGCTATTCAATTGGCTTTTAAAATGTTCATAACTTTTAGGTTGGATTTTTCCTCATATATCCATTTTTTTCCTTCAAATGCCTTATTCAAAAACCATTAGCATCATTTAATTCAAATAACAGGAAGCACTTTTTAAAAATAAAAAAAATAAACGCGAGGTTATAAGTTCGAGCCCTCCCTGGAAGCATAATAGGTTCATGAATTATGATCTAAAATAAAACACTTTATTTAAAACCTGTTTAATTATAGACAAAAGTTAGGTACAAGGAAAAAAAGAGAGAGAGAGACTAGGATTGGGTTGTTTTGTTAAGTTTTAATCATCCCCTCCTTTATTTTGTATAATTGTTTGCCTTTTTAATAAAATTTGGATTGGAATAGGAGAAACTTTTTGAATAATTCATTTTTATGACTATTAAAAAAAAGCGACTCTATTCCATTAACAGCTGCCTAACATTCAAAATAAGCATGCTGCGTGCGGTACGCTCCAACTGTTGCTATCAGAAATAAATAAATAAATTAAAGATACATGGAAATGAATGAAGAAAAGGGTATTATTCCACATCATTATTGGTAAGCACATCAAACAGCAAATTAAATACTACCTCCGACCCTAATTATAATACTCCTCCTGTCTTTAATATAAGACCCATTTAACTAATTTGATTAGATTAAGAAAGTTAGGTAAGTTACTTAATTATAAGAAAAGTGACATATTTTTCCTAAAATACCATAGTCATCTTTCTTAATACTCCCTCTCTCTTATACTTAATTATGGTTGAAGGAGTATCCATGGGAGTAATTTAGAGAAAATTGATAAATATGAGGAATGAGTCTTATATTTAGGACCAAAACTAACTCAAGGATTGGGTTCTATATTAAGGACCGGAGGAGTATCTTGTTTGTAAATCAAACGAGATTTTATAATTAGGACTGAAAATAGTACATAAATCAACAAGTTTGTGCTGGCTGCAAATAAATGAATAGACCATTGGTAGTGAATGGTTGAAAGAAGGCTCACGTATTAATCACGCTTGTGTGGAAAATGTCAATTTCTAATCATGTATTATAGACTTGCAATAATAATAGGACAATATGTGGATGACAAATTTCATGTGTAATATAGGACTTGAGTTCAACTATTTGCAACGTTTTCCTGGTGGGAAAAAAAAACTACATGTATTACTTCCGGTCCTAATTATAAAAACTAGTTGACTAATTTGAGGAGATTAAGGAAATAAGTCAAGTTAGTTATTTATAATAAATAGGTGTTGTTTTTTCTAAAATATCCTTACTAATCAAATGTATTAGTTAGAACTACTATCTTAGAAAAAAATTTATAAATATGAGAGACAAAGTGGATTGAGATTTTATATTTAGGATTAAAATAAAATTTAAATAAGATCTTATATTAAAAACCGGAGGTAGTAAGTTTTAGACAGTGACGTTGTTTGTTAGTTAGAGCTTTCTGATCAAACAACACTAAACACTTCTTTAAATTTCTTTTGATAAAGCGTGTTTAATCTTTTATAAATATGATGTGTGTGTGACATCCTTTCTTCGTAAAAAGGATGACAAAATATTATTGGTGGTGCCTTTTTACAAGCTATGTGACGAGTCATATTTTTATTAGAACTTTGGTTTTGATACTTAGCCTCCTAAACACAAAGGTAAATTGAAAGGGATAATTAAAAATTTTTTGGTAAGGTAATGGAGACTTTTAGCTGACTTACAAAATTTACCGTCGTATTTTCTTTATAATTAGAGAAATAATTTATTGAATAAAGTACAAGTAAGTTCTATTTTAACATAAAAAATAGTTTTTATTGAAAAATAATTAAACTTTTTGGGAATTATAAAAATAAAATAGGCAATTAAAAAATACTACATTTTGAGTAAGTTCGCTGAATTGAATCAAGCCGTGCCAGTGCGGACCTTGTAATTTTTACCCCCATGGTCCTATTTATATGAGAAAGAAAAAAATTTTTGTTTTTGTTTATAAGTTATTTTATTAAATTTTCATCATGAATATATTATATTGTCCTTTATTTATTATAATGTGTATAGTTATCTTTTTAAATGAGTATACATTAAATAAGGATAAAGTTAGAAAGTTACTATATTTTAATAAAAAAGTAATACAATTTAAGTTTTTTTTATCTGTGTGAAACATATTAAAAGTGTCTTATAAATAGGATAATATATTTATATTGGCGGTAAAGATGAGATAAGAATATGAGTTCATAATTGATTTTGTCCTGGATGTTCCGTAATTTAGAATCAGTCTTTGAAGAGCCGGACGGATTAGGCCATTGGCCGGCAGTTAAGGAGTTAATTCGGTGACTAAAGACAAATTAATTCAGTGACTAACCACAATACTTTCAGATTGAATATAATTTGTTCAGTAAAAAAAAATGAATATAATTTGTCAAATAAATTTAACAATCATATATATTAATCTAAGGAACGATACAATTATATGTAAGAATCATATATTTATTATATTATTAAAAATTCTATGGCATGTTTTGATTAAAAATTTTAATTATATTTAATTTTTGCTTGATATTTTAATCATATTTATAAACTATATACTTTTTAAAAAATAAATTATGACTTTAAAAAAATCTTGAGTTAGTATTGTTTATTGATGTCCTGCTTGGGTGAGAAGAAAAGTTGGGAGGAAAAAAATAAGATGAGAGAAAATAGAAAAAAGAAAAAACTAGAGAGAATATGTTATGTCCTTTTACTTGGATAGATGAGAGAAATATAAAGAAAAGAAAATTAGTAAATATCTAAACAATTAAAATATCTTTATCAAAATATATCATGTTTAAAATTAAATTAAATTAAATATTACAATAGAAAAATTATATTAACATCAGCATAATGAAATAATTTAAAATTAAGTTATTGAGTTTATATATTTTCAGATTATTATATTTTAAAACCAAATCATTTAATAAAAATATTGTTTTAAGATTAAAAATAAAAAGTGAATGACTTTTTAAATATAATAAAAGAAAATAAATATGAAAAGGAAGAGAGAGGAGGGGTAGCCATAAAAATCTTTTTTTTCTTTCCAAATCTCTCCATATATGGAGAGAAATTTTGGAGAGAAAATGAGATATGGGACTACTTTATTTTCTCCCCCCACTTTTTCTTCCTCCCACATTTTCTCTCCTATCCAAATAAAAAAAAAACTTGTTTCTCCTCGTTTTTTCTTTTTTGGTTTTCTCTCCTCCTTAATTTTCTCTCAATCCAAGAAAAGGGTGAATCTCTTTTTAACCAAAAGAGATCACCCTAATTTAATTTCAGCTGTTCCTGAGTCCTGAAATTATAGTAAGTTACATTTGACTAATGCTCCTGCTGCAAAATTTCATGCAACGTCTTACTTTCATTTTATTCATTATTAAAACAATAATACAATAAAGTATAAATGAACCGGGAAAAGATTTGGGCAAACTATGGCTATTTATAGTGGCAATAGCTAAGGGGTGAACATTTCGTTTCAAGGTAGCGGATGCGAAGTGAATGATAGCAGCAGGGGATACAAGCCGGGAACTTGGGAGGAGAGCCCAAAAATAAAAAAGAAAAATTACAAATCAATAAGCTCAGCAATGAGAGGGCAGTCACCATTTATTATTTTAGAACTTGTTATTATAGGCTATTTTGTTATTATTAAGATTTTTTTAATAATTATATTTTTTATTTGAGATATCATTCCAAAAACAAAAAAAGAGAAGTGCTAACCACGCATGAAGAGGATGAGCTAAGAATTGATAATCGTGAAATTAAAATTTGATGGCAAACTTTTATTCCTCCGGTTTTTATGAGGTGTTTAGATGGAATCAAAACTATAATTTTAAAAGTGTTTTTATGGTATACGATGTAAATATATGGAGGAATTTATCTCGATTTATAAAAAAGTGCTTCTCAAAAGCACTTTTTATGATGCCGAAACACCCTAATATAATACTTATTTAACTAATTTGATTAGATTAAGTAAGTTAGGTAAGTTAGTTAATTATAAGAAATATGACATGTTTTTTCTAAAACACTATAATCATCTTCCTTAATTTCCTCATTCTCTATTCTATTTGATTATAGTTGAAGAAGTATCTATTGGGATAATTTACGAAAAATTGATAAATATAAAAAATAGGTCTTATATTTAGGATCAAAATTATCTTAACAATTAGGTCCTATATTAAGGATTAGAGGAGTATAATCTTTCATTACGTGTATAATATTTATAAATTTGAAATTTACATTATAAAGC